AGGAGGAGGAGGAGGAGGAAGGGGAGGAGGAGGAGGAGGAGGAGGAGGAGGAGGAGAAGGGGAGGAGGAGGAGGAGGAAGGGGAGGAGGAGGAGGAGGAGGAAGGGGAGGAGGAGGAGGAGGAGGAAGGGGAGGAGGAGGAGGAGGAGGAAGGGGAGGAGGAGGAGGAGGAGGAGGAGGAGGAGGAGGAGGAAGGGGAGGAGGAGGAGGAGGAGGAGGAGGAGGAGGAGGAGGAGGAAGGGGAGGAGGAGGAGGAGGAGGAGGAGGAGGAGGAGGAGAAAGGGGAGGAGGAGGAGGAGGAAGGGGAGGAGGAGGAGGAGGAGGAGGAGGAGGAGGAGGAGGAGGAGGAATGATGATAAAGAAAGGAAGAAGGAGGAATAGTGATGCCGACGAGGAGGAGGAAAATAATGATACTTGAGGGGGGAGGGAAAAAGGGTAATGATAAAGGAAGAAGGAGAATTGGTGATAATGGCGATGAGCAGGAGGAAAATGATAAAGGAAGGAAGAGGGAGAAATGGTGATGATGATGAACATAAGAATAAGAATAAGAATGATTACAACATTAATAATGATAATGATAATGATGATAATCTCGCTTCTTATGATAACTGTAATACTGATAATCATAATGAAAATAATAATAATTTTTAATGATGATCATTTCAATAGCAACAACGATAATGATATTAATGATAATAGCAACAATGACAACAAAAACAATGACAACAACAGTAATAACAACAAATCAACAAACAGATAACTGATAAAAAAGCCAATAATGACGATGCAAAGAAAACTCCAAGGCCCCGAACCACAACGACAACAACTACAAACCAACAAATAAAAAGATAACCAATCTAAGGAAATAAGAAATAACTTATTGAAAGGATATTAAGATAACTAAGTTAAATGGAAAAAATATCAACCCAAACTGCTGTATCAACAACAACTACAACAAAAACAGCAAAAGTACTAATAAAAATCCCCGAGCCTGTCCTTCGCCTCCGCTGCCTCAAAAAACAACAACGACAGCAATAACTCGACTATATAATGCAGATCAAAAAATAAAAAAAATAAATGAATTAAGCCCGCCCTCCCTCATAACCGACCTGCTCCTGAATCACCACCAATAACAACAACAACAAAACAAATCAACAAATCAAATTAAATAAAATAACATAAAAAAACATGAACATCCGACCTGTTCCTCGCGTCCGCCGCCTCGAACTGCTGCATCAAGGCCCAGCTCTGGCCGTTGTCGGGCGAGTGCTCGAGGAACACGTTGTCGCGGGGAAGCTCCGCCTGGCGACACCGCCCCCCCGCCTCGGGGGAGCCGATCTGCAGGTGGAACACGAGGTACCTGGCGGGGGGAGGGGGAGGAGAGGGAGGAGAGGGGAGGAGAAGAGAGGGAGGAGAGAGGAAGAGAGGAGAGTAGAGGGAGACGGGGAGGGAGAGGGAGAGGGAGAGGGAGAGGGAGAGGAGGGGGAGGGGGATGGGGAGGGAGACGGGGAGGGAGACGGGGAGGGAGAGGGAGAGGGGGAGGGGGATGGGGAGGGGGGAAGGAGAGGGGGAGGGGGAGGGAGAGGGAGAGGGAGAGGGAGAGGGAGAGGGAGAGGGAGGGGGGAAGGAGAGGGGGAGGAGGAGGGGGAGGAGGGAAGGAGAGTGGGAGGGGGAGGGGGAGGGAGAGGGGAAGGAGGAGGGAATGGGAGAGGGGAGGGAGAGGAATGGATGAAAGAATGGAGAAAGGAAGGAGAGAGCGAGAGGTGGAGAAGGAGGGAGAAGAAGAGGAACAAAGGTGGTTAGAGAAGGAACTGTTTATTTCTATTCAATGTTTTTCTGGTTTATTTAAGGCTTAGCTTTATGATCATCATTCATTAATAGAAAAACATAATTATTAAGAATTCACATAAGATCTTTCATACGTGTCAGATGATAACACAATCAAGTAAAAAAATGTTGGAAAAAAATTATGATAAATTACAAGAGAGATAAATAAAAGGAAAGTAATAATGACTGACAAAATAGATAAATGAATAAGTAAATAAATCATAAGTAAATAATGTAAAAAAGAGATAATAGTCCCGTTATCCCCGCCTCGTAGTTGCTCTTCCTTACTTTTGACAAAATATAATAAAATAATAACAATAACATGGGGAAAAAATAGCAGTGACAAAAGTAAAAAAATAATATTCCCGTAGTCGCCGCCTCGTACTTGACAAAAGGCAATAAAATAATAATGATAAAAGGAGAAAATAATTATGATGAAAAACTACAAAATAAAATAAAATAAAACAAACGATTAACTAAATAAAGTAAAAAGATATATTCCCGTCGTCCCCGCCTCGTACTTGGTCTTCCTGGTGTCGAGCGGCCTGGTGGTGGCGACGCGCGGCCCGGCGGCGGAGAAGACCAGGGCGTGGCCGGAGTGGTGCGGCCCGCAGCCCAGCCCGACGGCGGCGCCCTCAGTTCGCTCCCACGAGGGCGAGAGGAGGTCGCCCTCGAAGTCGTCCTCCATCCACGCGGGGTTGGGGGAGGGGAGGAGGCCGCAGTAGGTCCCTGGGTGGGAGGGAGGGAGGGAGTGAGGCGACCGGTGCGGATTTTGGCCGATTTTGGGAAGTGGATTCGTTTGGTGGACGTGCTTTGGTGGATGTTTGTTAGGTTTGTGTTTGGTCTTGGTTGCGTGAATGTTTTTTTTCCCCTAAATTTGGTTTGATTTGGGTATTTTGGTGGAGTCTACCCAGTTAGCTTTGAGATTTTTTTTTTTTTTTTTTTTTTAGAATTTAGGAATAAAAGGTACTTGGAACATGCATTTAGGAATGAAAGACACAGGACATGAGGATGAGTCATAGGTTGTTACAACATATCACAACATGAATGTCGTAAGTCCATTTGCAATAGCCTACCAAACGTAGCGTTGTACTACGGTACTAATATGGCATTGCAATAAACAGCTGATATTAACAAAAGCAATTTCCTAAATGAGATCAGATCTACTAACACAGACAGTGAAAGTACAGTCCACATGGAAACATCTGTACGAGGAAGGTACACTACTACATGTACATGGCTACATGCTTCGTTCCTTGCACCTCGACTCTGTAGCTTTTGCCACACTTGGTATAACATACCTTGAAACAAGTTCACTGTTGTAACCCTTGCCACACTTTTATGGGGGAATACAGTGCCATTTCACTTACTATTGCATACGTCGTAAACCCCGTCACACTTACCTGGGGACTCCACTGAAACTCTCTTATTACTATACCCCGTGCCACACTTAGCACTACGTGTCCTGAAACACCCTCAGTCTTATAACCTCTGCTACACGTAATATTTCGTATCCTGAAATACACTCAACATTTAACTTCTGCTGCACTTAATATTGCGAATCCTAAACCAAACCACGCACCTGTAACCTCTGCCACACTCAATATTACGTGCCCTGAAACACACCCAAGCTTACAAGCTCTGCCACCCTGAAGCCACTCACCGTTATATCCCTTGTCACACTTGCACAGCCCCGCAGCCGTGCAGACGCCGTGGCCGTGGCAGAGGTACGGGCAGGGGGGGCCTATGTACAGCTGTCGAATGGCAAAGGCGCTGCTGTCCGTTTCTCCCGGGTTTTCTTGCTTCCAACGGAGCTGCACCGAGCTGGAGGAAGAGGCGGCGAGGAGGGAGGTCAGAGAGGGTGAAAGATGATTGTGTTTGTTGTTTGCGTGGGCTTGTATTTGTATGTGTGTTTGTGTTTGTATGTGTTTGTGAGTGTGTTTGTGTTTATATGTTTGTTTATTTGAATGTGTGTTTGTGAGTGTGCATGTGTGTGTTTTTTTTGTATGTACATTTGTGTGTATGTATGTGTGCGTAGAAGAAGACAGCGCAACATATAAACCACAGCCAAATGAAAGTCCAGGCACTCTGATAGCACAGATACTAATCCACTCGGTAAACTCGGTCGTATTCTGCACGAACACGCATACGAACACACGCGCATGAAGCTCCCTGCCTAAGAACCAACACACAAACCCCTCTAGCCATCTACCCCCTCTTCTCACACTATCCCCTTCCCTCCCCCTCTCCCCCACCCCCTCACCCTATGCCCAACCCCTCCCCCACCTCCCTCAACCTACCACCCACCCATTTCTCCCCATCCTCCTTCCTTCCCCCCACCTTCCCTCATTGCAATAATGAGGGAAGGTGGGGGGGAGATACCACCTGAGAGATACCATTAAGATACCACCTCCTTCACCTCACCCTCCCACCCCTTTCCCTACCTTCCCTCCCTCTTCCCTCTCTCCCCTCCCCTCTCCCCCTCCCCCCTCCCCCGCACCCCCTTCCCCCTCATCCTCTCACCCTTTCCCTTCCCCTCCCCTCCCCTTCCCCCTCCCCTCCCCCGCCCCTCTCACCCGTGGGCCAGCCGGTGGTCGGCGCGGCGCACGACCCTGGTCCACGGGCCGTGGTGCCCCGGCCGGTACACGCTGGGCTCGCTGGGGGGGTCGCAATGCAGGGCAGAGGGCGGGCATCCCTCGTGCACCAGGGCCCAGGTCACGCCCCCGTCCTTGCTGTACTGCAGGAGGACCGGCCGGCCTTCGGGAACGGCCTCGTCGGCGGCGCACCCCACGCTGATCTGCAGGGAAGGAGCAAGTCGGAGATGGTGAAGGACGAGGAGGATGAACAAGAAAAGAAATTGCGTTTTCGTTTGTGTTTATTCGTTTTTTCTATGCTTGTTGAAAAAGGAAAGGAAATGCAGAAAGAACAAGAACAAGAACACAAAACAAAATAAAAACCGAATCCACACTAGAGCCCCCTGCTTTCCCCTCCGAGCCTCCCTCCTCCCTGAAACCCACCTGGAACGAAATGATGTCCCCCTCTTTCAGCGCCAGCGTGTTGGTCACCGCCTCCCGCACAGGCTCCTCGCCGTCCATGACCTGCGCCGCCTCCTCGCTCCCGCAGAAGGGCCGTTGGTGGTGCCCGGTCACGCTCAGCCACGGGGAAGACACCATC